GCAGACCAGACACGACAAGACTCTACCCACCAAGGTATGTATGTATGTGACTGTACTACCCCGGATTCGACTGGAACCGCTGAAGGCGAGTACGATACGGTGCGGTTGGTACTCTATAGATCACCGTACTCTACCTACCCAGGTACGTGCGTGCAGTGAGACGAACGATATCGATGTCGCCTTCGCCCCGCCTCAGCGCCTCAGTCAAAGTCGAATGTTCCGGCATCGGCTCCGGCACTGACACTGACACCGATGATGTCGCAATACACTGGTGCTGGTGCTGGTTCTCGAGTATCGGCCCGGGGAGACCCCTCGTTGCGGGGGAGGGGGGAAGGGGGAGATGCCTGTCGCACGCTTCGCACCCACGCCTTGAACCCACCATGTGGCGACGGCGGCGAGTATCCAGAGAACCCTCCCCACCCCATTACACGTGCGGCGGCGAGTGGCATCCATCCAGAGACCACGCTTCGCCTCGCCGCTTTCGCCTCAGCTGGACTCACTGCTTTCGCCTCCGTCCGATTGGCGTGTCCGTCGATACGGTGATATCTATCTTGTTATCTGTATCTGTAGTGAACTATATCGTGCTATACCGTGGTGTAGTATACCGTCGTGTGTGTGGACGCTCCACAGCTTGTATGATATCATGTCTCAATTCTTCATGATCTTGGAAGTGTTGAGTGGACCCCACACCCATCCACACCCACACGGCTGTTTGGGTGATAGTTGTTTGGCTGTTTGGCTGTTTGTGTGGTTGTTTGTGCCGTAGTGGTGTCCGGGCCCTCGCAGCGATCATGACGGAAACCCCCATGTGCGGTGCGCGGCAATGCAGATGGTGGATGGGGTGATTTGTGATGGTGGTGGGGATGGGTGATGGGGGGATGGATGGAGATTCTTCTTCGTCTTCTTCTTCTTCTAGGGAAGAGTGGGACCATACCCACCTACCACACATGCCGGAACCAGCACCCTGTAGATCATTCCGTGTAACTGCATGTCGGGATCGATACTAGGTACTCTAGATACGGTAACTAGTTTTTAGAGTATGTACAGTAGGTACATGTCACCCGACGCCACAATCTACTTTATCTACACCACTCTACGCCGAGTTATGTACTCTATTCAACGGAAATCGTCGCTCAACTAACCCGGATACGATGTGGGGGCTGTGGTGTGCCCGGGGGAGGAGGAGGGAATATCGTTTATCCGCGAGACCTCCTCTTTCAGGCATCTATGGAGTCAACACTCCGTCTCGAGTCTCGAGCTCTTATGTCTGCGCGACGGAACCTTTCACATCCCCCCGACAGCATTCTGCGGGGGCCGAGTCCGAGGGACCCACGGTGAACGGTCCAGTGTCCACGGGTGTTTGCCTCCGTCGTAACTATTGGCGGGGTCCTGGCTAGAGAAAAACAAAAATAAAGAAGAAAACAGCCCACCTTTCCCTTGCCTTCCCTTCCCATCCGGGAAATCCTTCTGTTTCCCTTCCTCTTTCCGCCTCCAACCTGAGCACCAGAGATTGCGCGCAAGGCCGGCAATCGAGTTTGCAGCAGCAGCCGGTAGCAACAGCAGCCGGTAGCAACAGCAGCCGGTATGTACAATGATTACTTAAAATGTAGATACCCAATTGCGGATCGGCAGGGAGGACCACGTTGCGCCAACCCACCCCCCGCCACCCCCCGCCACCCCCCGCTGCTCCAGCTCCAGCTGGGTCTCACCCTCTCACCGTCTCAGGAAGATAATCGATTCGATTCGATTGCGATGCTGCGGTTTCCAAGAGAGAGGTGAGGGCTCAGGGAGAGGATTCTGGTTCTGGAGATTGGCGTTTCCAGTGGGTGGATGGATGGATGGGTGGGTGGATGGATGGGCGGGTGGATGGATAGATGGGTGGATGGATGAACGTGTGGATGAACGTGTGAAAGATCTACGGACAGCATTCGGTATGTAGATCCCCAGGCGGACTGACATCGGGGGGCGTGCGGATCACTTCCTTCTTCTGCCGTTTCGATCCCCGCATACAGTACTTCCGCAACGGTTCACTCTACTCTACTGGGTGCGCTGGGTTTCGGGATTCCCGTGAGAGCCTCAGCACCACCACCACCACCACTGCCAGCAGCAGTAACAGTAGGTTGGGATTTGTGTCCGATAAGAAACCTTCTCGACGGGCTGCGATCACCACGACGGTGACCCATAATACTGTTTCACATGCCTAGCCCGAACCGCAGGTCTCAGACAGACAGGCAGACAGACTGCGCGCACTGCACACAGTACCTAAGGGACGTGCTCGGGCTTTACTCGCTCGGTATCGGATCTTTGGGTCTTGCGGTGATCGGAGGGACGGAGTGGTGGGTACTGACATACATACTTCATACATGATACATACCGTAGGGTCGTATCGGTACTTGGGGTTTTCTGGGTGCGTTCCTCTCGCGCTCGTCATCTGAATCGTATCGTGGCCTGAAGGGGATGCTTAAGCCGAATTACTATTATCGGTAATATCGGTTTGTTCGGGAGAAGAAGGAAAAGAAGAGAAAAGAAAAGAAAAATAGATAAAAAAGGAAAAGAAAAGAAACGAAAAGAAAGGAAAAGAAAGGAAAAAGGAAAAGAAGGAAAAGAAAGAAAAGAAAGAAAAGAAAACAGAAAGAGGGAAACAATTCCCCAAACAAAAAACGCAAAGAAACACCAGACAAAAATACACTGTCAGCTAGACCGTCGTACCTACTCCAGACTCCAGACTTCAGACTCCAGTTGGCAAACAGTGCTCTCGACTGCCGCTCCCAAACACCCTCGTCTATTACCGTACCCATCAACTCTCGGCTCGTACCCACCGTTAGCAGTGCAAAGGTTTCCTCCTGATCCCGGACGGTCATCATTGTAATATACCTACCCTGTATTGTACATACATGAGCTGCCTGCCGGCGGATAAACTCCACGCCCGACCGACCGGAAGATCTGTGGCTGTGCTCTACTCTACTGTAGAGAGTGCCTTACTTACTTACTTCTGACGCGCGTGCTGCGTTGCTTGCTGGTGCTGCTGACTACTGTGCTTGGGTGCGGTGTAGGTGGGGTGTGTGGAGCACCTTATTACCTACTTACTGCTACTGCTACTACTACTACATACCCGCGAAGATCCTACTCTACTCTAGGTACTCTACTCTACTCTATTCTATCTGTATGTAATATTTACGCCGCATGTGTTGTACGGCTTCTACTGTATAACGAACCAACCATCTTCTAAGCTCAGGGCTCCTCTCCTCTCCTCTACCATCCCCGCGGCATCCCCGCGCGTGTGAATTGTTTCCAACCCTTCGGCCGGAGCTTCTAAAACTAAATCTGCATTCGACGCACGCCGAAAGTTGAAACAAAACATCGTACATACCGGTACTCTAGGTAGTACGTAGATGGCGAATCTGCTGTAACTACTACAGTCGATATATAGTAGGTAGTATATAGTATATAGTATATAGTATGCCAGCCGTATTCCAACGTCATGTCATCCCACCCCGCGGGTTTTAAAGTGCGAGGATGGGGGTGGACGGGCGAGGACGGGCGGACGAGGGGCGGACGAGGGGAGGACGAGGGGGGACGGGAGGACGAGGAGAGGACGAGACGGGGACAGAGAATGTACCGTGCCGTATTCGAGTATTCTACCAGATATGGTACACTTGAGGGATCAGACTTTTGGTCAAACCAGCCAGCCAACCAGCCAGTCACCCAGCCAGTAACCATCACTATGTGCGCGGCACGTGTATAGTATGTAACTCCGGAAGAACGAACGAACGAGTGTGTGGGTGTGTGGGTGTGTGGGTGTGTGGGGGGGAGGCGTGGGAAGGCGTGGGAATTACGGTATCCTCCAGCCAGCCAGTTTTGGAGCCGGCTGGCGGGAAGATCATCAACGTGCAGTTCAGTCAGTCATCGATTGCCGATTGCTATGTAGAGTACGGTATGTCAGGTTGCGCGCGCGCGGTCATGAGGTTTTTGCAGGCAGGTTCTTCCGTAGTAGTGATGGCTTCGCCGGTTGTATTTGCTTTTCTTTCCTTTCCTTTTTCTTTGCTTTCTTTCTCAGGCTTCAGCTGCACGGCACACAGCAAGCAGGCACAGTACAGTTTTCTCTGTACGGTATGTACAGATGGGGGAGTGATGGAGTGCATGAGCATGAGCATGAGCATGAGCATGAGCATATGTAAGCTATCATACCAGCCAGCCCATCTATCAATCTGCATACATTTATACTTGACTTGACTTAGCACCTCTACCACTGGTTGCGCATGCTTTTAGTAGCAGCCTAATCCTCTTTCTCTTTCTCTATTTCACTCGTGAGTCGTTGCCAGCCATTGCCGATCAGTTAGTGTCTCACCTCCCACTCCTTCTCTACTGGTCTCTGGAGTAGGGAAGCAGAGTATGATAGACATCGAGCCTACGCGGGTGTCGCTACCCACAAGTCTTTGATAGTTGCTCTAGTTACCTGCCTGTACATACATGCACGAGAAGGTCACCGGAGCGGAAAGACAGCCCAGAATGTAAAGACGTCCACGCTCACCGGTATATGTACATGGAGTGTGTATGAGATGTATGTACGAGCGGGGTGGGGGGAGTGAGGGAGGGACAGTCGTGTACTCTACACATGTGCGAGTAGGTACAGTGCCTTGAGAATCGGAGTGTCGATTGGATGTCTCGAGATAGGTCGAGTATTAACCTCCTGCCTCGTTGCTCGCCGGCCGGTGGATCTTCGTGATGTGATGGAGAAGTACGTTTTCCTCCTGCCCCTGTATTTAAATTTCCCTTCACGTCACCACTCACCACTGCCTACCAGTGGAAGCAGGAATAGACACACCCATCCATCGGGTTGCATTCCAGGCTTCTTCCTCCAGGCAGCAAGCCAGCGATCGATGGTGCTGGTGGTGGTGGTGGTAATGGTAATGGAAGTGGTGACTGGCTGCATCCGTCTGTTCAATCTATTCTGCTCTACTCTATCCCACCCTCTCTCTCTCTCTGTCTCTCTCTCTCTGTCTCTGTCTCTCTCTGTCTCTCTCTGTCTCTCTCTGTCTCTCTCTGTCTCTGTCTCTCTCTCTCTGTCTCTCTCTCTCTCCTCGTATCTTGGCTTGGAACGTCGCGCAAAGCCTGGGAAGGTAGAGCAAGTAGAGTCGAAGTAACTGTGCGACGCGAAAAGAACGAAAGAATGAAAGAGAAAAAACACCCCTCCCTCCTCCCAGCGAGCCGGGCAGCGCAGTGCAGTGGCCACTGGACAGTGGCTGCGATCAACCTCGTACACAAACACTTGGGGAGAAGCGAATTGCTATTATTGCACGCCAACCCCCCGCCGGGGCCCCGGTGCGGCCAATCCCAAATCCCAGGCTCCAGCGCGCCGGTTGTGATTCGTCGCTCTCACGTCGTGTAGGTATTTTCGTATCGAGTCAGGCCCCAGGCCCCAGGGTGGCTGGTGCGATTCCTGGGCGGGCGGATTGGCCCTGGCTAACCTAACTAACTAGCTACAAACGTCGCCGTCTAGTTCGTATTTGCTGTGACGGGATGCTCATTGTACTCACTCTGCTCTGAAGATTCCATGACCGATGCCGACGCCTCCGCCGCCGCCGCGTGGATTACTTGTGCATTCCTGGTGCGTAGGTAGCACTCTCTTCGACTTTCCCTGCTCCGAGTCGTTGGTCGCTCCGTTGCACGGTACAGAGTATGTACTGTACAACTCATCAACACGGCCGTGCCATTGGGGGACGATGTGCAACCGAGGCTCAGAGCGCTGGTTGGATGCTGCGAGCCTCGCAGGAAAACGCATAGGGAACTCCGGACTGTCGTGCTGTGCTTTTCCCCGTGGCCCATGGGCCCGTCGGACCAGTCGAGTCGAGTCGAGTCCATCGCTGGGACACGGCGCCGGGGTAGATCCACTGGAACGATACCCAGCCCGGGGGACGTGCTACATCGGGAGGTCGGCTTGGGAGTGCAGCAATCGGCGTGAACACCGTGGGGACCGTGGGGACCCGAAGGGGAGGATGCGGAGGACGAGGAGCAACAACGAGAGTAATAATAACGGCGATAATAACTGCAATAACAACCACGGTAATAACAACAATAACAACGCGAGACGTGAGAACTATACCTTGATATCCCGAGACGACATTCCGCAGCCACAGCCCGCCGACTTACAGGTCACCAACTTCTCACTTACTCACCACTACAGAGTGCACGCTAGTCACCGTCTCCGTTGCGGACTAATTCCAAGGATTTGGGGGTGGCCACGGTTCTCACGTTACACGCCTTGCCATTGCACATCTCAGCCTTAACAGTCCTCAAGGATCCAGTGCCCCCCCCCCCCCCCCCCCCCCATCATCCCCGTCCACCACCTTCTCCCCCCCTCCACCCACCGTCCCCACCATCCCCGTCTCCATCAACCCTCTCGTCTTCTCTTCCTCCCCCTCCACCCCTCTCCCCTCCCCCTCCCACCAATTCCCTCCCTCCTCCCACCCCCCCAAAAAGCAACCTTGCTTGTTCGTTGTGTGTGCAGATGAAGCTTGAATCATCCTTGGCCACCTTTCTGCTTTGGGCCTATGCGCGTCACTGCCCCGACCAAAATGGATTGTTGTCGGTCCCTCGCACTCAGCCAGTCGACGTCGTGATGAACCAGTCCGTACCATGCCTCTCCTCTGCAGTCACCGGCCTACATATCTTACTTCCCACCCCCAAAATACGCCCAAATACGAACTCCGCTCTGAACGGCCTACAAGTTGTCCGACCTGGCCGCTCCCCCATCATCAACTAGGCTCTGAATCCACTCACCCCCCCCCCCCACTCAACAAACCCCCAAATCTAAATAACTGCCCCCAAAACTCCCTCTCATTCTGGCTTCGATATCTTCTTCGATATCTTCTCCGGACCCTTCGCTTTGCAGTCCCGTCAGCAGACGCGATAGACCGCTTGATATCCTTCACTCCCCGCAATGGCATTGGTCCACCCAGGTGCCCCTTCTGCCCTCGATTTATCCTCCCCAGCAATGATCTGCTCGAGCGAAAACAACTCCATCAGTATGGCCGTGCTGCAGACTCTCCCGGCCGGAAGCGGACCCGGCATTCAGACCCCCCGGCCTCCGCATAGGCAGATTCATCGTAACAGAGCTTCGTACTCCTGCCACTCGTGCCGGCGGCGGAAAGTAAAATGTGATCGCCAGCATCCCACGTGCGGCAACTGCTCCAAGATGGCGGAGCCGTGTGTGTATTCCGACAACACCGGTAAGGGAGCAAAAAACAAGAACAAGGACCGACAAGCGGCCTCCTCTTCCTCTGCCTCTTCCTCCTCTTCTTCGACGGAGATCACCGGATTGTCGCCGAAACGGCTGCGGACCAACTCGGGCGTTTCCGTTTCCGTCTCCACCTCGGGCAGTGACGATGATTCCTGCAGCTACCGCTCTCACTCGCGATCCAGCTCCATGAACCAGAGCGACTTCAACGCCCTCAATTCTCCGTTCCAGTCGCCAGATCAGCTGCCCATGTCTTTGCCGCCACCACCACCTCCTACCTCTGCCCCTCCGGCAAGCCTGCTCTCCACCACCATCAAGGAGGGTGAGCTCGAGACCAGGGTCAACCGTCTCGCCGAGATCGTTGACCAGTGGTACAAGGTTGCGTATTCGCATGGCCAACAGCCCGGATCGCCGCCTCCAGGCTTCAACACCGAGGCTGTCGATGGATCCAACAGGCGTTGGTCCAACACGATGCAAGAGCACGCGAGACCACAGGGCATGACGAATAGATCCAAGAAGCAGGGGTCACCCGAGTACACACCCAGATCTTCGCCAGTCCTTGGACGGGCACGGGTGCAGAAGTCGTCCGCGCACGGCCGTCCCCGATCATCGACCGTGAGCTCGACCCACTTTGCTTCGTGCAAGGACGGTGGCGGAGAGGATGTCGCCATGGGGCATCTGAGTATCCAGGAGAACGGCCGCAGCAGATATGTGGGCACCAGCTTCTGGGCTCTACTTAGCAATGAGGTACACCTACATACTCACCTTCTGCGACTATCGAGAACCACCGCTGACTTTCTTTCTTTCATCTGTAGATAACCGACCTCAACCAGGTGCTCAAGAGCCCCAACAAGGAAGCTTCTTGCACAAATAACGCACCTGTATCGACGCCCCCACACTCGGCCTGTACGCCCCCACCGGAGGCGGACGGTATCTTCCGCGCCTACGGAAACATCGACAGCGGAAAGGATATACTCTCGATCCTACACTCCATCCCATCCCGAAAGCGCTGCGAGGTGCTTTACCGAAGCTTTCTCGATGGAGTTCACCCGATAATGCCGCTGATCCACGTCCCCACGTTTTCGAGCGAGTGGCGAAGTTTTTGGTCCTGGTTCCCGGAGAATACGCACACCCTCCCGGGTGGCGATCTTCTGGATAATCCGACATTTATCCCATTACTCCTGGCGATCCTGTACGCTGGTGCGGCCTCCATGAGTGCGAAGGCGATCAGTGCCAGCTTCGATGGCCGTAGCAAGGAAGTAGTCGTCAACCATCTGTTCGCTGCAACGACTAGCGCGCTTGCCGCCACGGCGTTTCCCCGCTCGCCCACGACGAACTCGCTCATCGCGTTTCTCATCGTGCAGACTTGTTTGATCCGCGAGGAGGAGCCACTTACTTCCTGCTCGTTTATCGGCACGGCTATGCGCATCGGTAAGCCAGCCATTCCCACTCTTCTTTTTTGTTTAATCATTGATTGCCATCCCGCCCCCACTCCCATCGCGGCGAGCGGTTCTCTGTACCGCCTCGAGTGATTCTTTGTGTGAAGCTAACATCCGATGCAGCACAACAGATGGGCTTGCACCGTGACGGCTCCCTCTTCGGCCTCGGCGAAGTCGAGTGTGAAGTCCGCCGCCGCGTTTGGTGGCACATAATGCACCTGGATATTCAGGGGGCCATCGCCACCGGTCTTCCGCCGTTGGGTGGCAGCAGCGAAGACCAGTTCGACACCAAGATGGTGAGCGAGCTCGGAGACGAGTTTATCGGATGCGAGCCGTCGGACTCTTGCGACGCGAACCGAAATTCGCCGGCCATGATACTCGCCGTCGGCAGGTACGAGACCGCGCAGCTGCTGCGGAAGATTATCGTCCGCCTGCTCGGGATCAAGCCGCCGCGGAAGGCCGACATCGCCGAGATGGGCCAGATGATAATGGGGCTCAAAGGTAAGCTCGAGGAGAGGATCGCGAGGATTCCGGCTAGAGGATTGCCAGAGATGGGATTCATTCCTCACGAAGAAGTCGATGGCGCTGAGAGGGAGGGCATCTTCAATTCGTGGGCACGCATAATGTTGAGCATGATGAGCGATCGAGCATATGGGGTGCTCTACCAGCCGTTCTTGAAGAGCACCAAGAGCAAGATGTGGTTGCACGCGAGACATTGGTATGTTGGCTATTTTCTACTTTATCCTTCCTCCTCCTCCACCACATGGCCCTCCTCCTCCACATCCCGCAAATCCATCTTGCGCGGCCTGGCTACTCCTCCTTTGCACAATTTCCTTCTTGTTATTGCCCTCGCCCTCGCCTCTGAGAAAGACGCCACGGACTTGCCTTATTCGGCCGATAGCCACGCAAGAAGCCGCGTAACTCTAAGGGCCCCGTCCCCTAACCAGGGAACGTTCCTTATCCACGGGTGCTAGCGATGGTGATTCGCACCACCATAGGCCCTCTCCCCACTCCCTGCGTAGTGTACGCGCACGCAAGCACCGGAGAAATACCCCCATGCATCGACGTTACGATCTCGGAGCATACCCCGCATCCATTCTTCCTTGCATCCGAGCCTGATCTGCCATCCTGACCAATAGCTAACCACGCCTATTCCCCGCAGCGCCCTCCGCTCCGCACACTCCTTCCTCCGAAGCTACATCCACCTCTCGCGATCCCCCCTCTTCGCCCCCTACCACTGGTATTGCCCAGTAACCTACCAACCCCTCCACGCCATCATGATCCTCCTCTTGGATCTCCACGAACGCCCACTAGCCCCAGAAGCCCCCCGCTCCCGCGTCTTCGTCGACGAGATCTTTAGCCTCTTCTCCGACCACCCCGGCGAGGCGTGGCGTTTGCTCGGGCGCCTGCGACACCGCGCTGAGATGGTCGCCAAGAACACCACCGCCACCAATAACAACCACAGCAACAACCACAGCAACAACACCAACCCCAACAGCAACACCTGGGAGGGCGGCGAGATTGGCTGGGATTTTGGCGAGTGGGCCGCCACCGCCCCGCCCGCCGCCGCCGCCGCAGAAGAGATGCAGCCACAACAGCAGGTGGTAGTCATGCCCGATCAGCACATGGACATGATGATTATGCACGAGGAGTTCGACTGGAACTCGGTGTTTGTTGAGGTCGACGGGAGCAGTCCGAGGACCGTCGGCCAGGTCGAGCAGGTCGATATGAACGGCGCCGCCGCAGGGTGGGCGCTGTTGGAGTGCGATGACTAGCTTTCCTTTTTCTTTTTCCGGCTTTTTCCGACTTTTTTCGGTTTTTTTTCTGGGTATTTACTTGGCTCTTCGGGTTTTCTTTGCTTCGGAGTTTGTTTTTGTTTTGCATTCCGCATTCTGCGTACTGGCGTCTTGCTTATCTTTTGCTTTGCTTTCATGACGGGTTTTCTCATGATAAGGGATTTGGAGGGAGCGGTATTTGGAGTGGGGGATTTGGAGGAATGGCCGGCTGGAGTTTGTTGATTCGGGATTTCTATGTATTTGTGTGGCTAGAGGAAGGTGGATATGGAGGGGATATGGAGGGAATAATTGGCAGGATTGACAGGTTGGATTGGCAGGTTGGACGGGAATGCGGGAATGCAGGAAATGAATGGGACGTGGCACGGGGCGCGGGAAAGCTGATTTTTTTTGGTTTGTCGCGGGTTTTGATTTGGGGATTTTGTATTGCGGTCTGATTTTGGTTTTTGGTTTTTGGTTTTGATTTTTGATTTTTGCTAGCGGGAGTTTCTATGGGAAGATGGGAAGATGGGAGGATTGGGAAGGATCACGACTCACGGCCGGGAAAATGGACGGGGGTACGGGGGGAGGGGTAGATAGTGGGGTGGAAGAGGTTATGTAACTGCCATGACCTAGCATTTAAGGTCGAATGCGATGATGATCAAAATCAAATAAAAAGCAGAAAAAAAAGGGACCGGTGGGCGGGGCGCGGTGGAAATGGTGGGAGGGAGGGGGATTGCAGTGGGCATGGATATGGACGGAGGATTTTGGGTTTCATTCAGTTCTCCACTCCATTTCTTTTTTTTTAGAATGTTTTTTTATATCGAATTCTAGAAGGACGTTTGGCACAACGATTACTCTAAAAATTTCAAAGTATGAGAGTCATCTCACGAACCGACCTATCGCCGTACGATTGGCCGTCGACGACCGACCGATCGACCGGCCAGCCGGCCGGCCGGACTGACTGAGGCAACTCGAAAGCCCGGCCACCAACCAACCAACCAAAAACCCGACCGAATGCACAAGACTGCGCAAGACTGCGAAAGATTTGCGTTTGGCGGAGCGCTGGTAGAGACACGCGTCGTTCCTTTGTCTTTTGCTTTTGCTTTTGCCTTTGCTTTGCCATAGATACCGGTATCTGATCCACGGTGGCCATCGAGTGGTCGCTGGTGGTCATTGGTGGTGGCGGTGGGGGAGGGGAAGGGGAGGGGGAGGGGGAGAGAGTTGGCAGACTGTCAATCAATGAGTATCCAAGTATTTACCTTATCGAAATACTTGACCAAGTATGTACTTGAGTATGTATGTACCTCAGCACCTGTGTATCTGGCGGTATGTACGGTATGTATGCACGCCGATCCTCCTTTCGATAATCCCCAGCATCCAATCCAGCATCCGGCACTTCCCGCACTTGACTTCCAATCGAATCGGCCGTTCCAAGTTCCCATCCTCCCGGTCGACGCTACGGAGCAAGAGGAGCAGGAGTAGCAGTGGGAACGCAGCCAATATGCGAGGTGGCGCCTGTCTTTGTGCCTGTCTCTGCTGCCTGCGTCTCTATCTGTGTCTCCTTGGCTCTATATGTAATTGTCTCTGTCTGTGTGTCTGCTGTGCGTTACATAGGATACATGATGTAAAGTACTAGGTCAAAAGTTTTTGTACAGGGGCCGTTTTACACCAAAAATGCCCATTTTCAAGCAACCAAAAAACACCCTTCACGTGGCGGAAAAACATCAAGTCTTTCATAGAAGCTTCAGAATCGCAAGATGCATCACATATAAGAATTCCGACGACTTTTGCTCCGGACTGGAGGCGCATGGTATGGTGTTGTGCACGGGTTGGAGAGTGATTTCAGATTTTGTATGGGGCCCCCACACAAAATTGTTGCGACAACCAGTTTCAACACCAACTTTTCTCCCATACGGTGTTACTCAACCACAGCAACTCAGAATTATGTGCCGATTTCGATTAAGGTGCTCTACCTGGTTTGGGAGACCTTCTGATGGCCCACATATATTTATACTACCTTATGGTTGCTGCATCTACGGCGGAAAATGACCTTCCTCGGTGGAAGGGAAATCCGCCAAGCCACCCTACTTCGCATATAATAATCAGCCCAGCGAGCTGGAAGTCTCATTGAAGCTTTAATGTTATGTATTCATGATATATGCCAATTATTACTACTTATAATGTGTAGTTGTTGTGTGTTAGAGAGGTATATGTCTGTGGTGTGGTGGCGCTGTTGGGGAGGTGTACAAAAACTTTTGACCTAGTACTTTAGCTTCGAGTGACGCTGGCCGGCCGATTTCGATTTCGATCCCACTCCGACTGAGACTGACGTCGAGGCTGCAGACTCGATCGAATGCGGTCCCCTCCAGTCTGGTACAGCCTTGTTGCGCGGAGGATTCGGTGGGCGGGCACTGGTTCCAGTTCCAAGGTCGAGTAATGCAAGTACCTAAGAATTATGTAGATGGAACTTGGAGGTGGATGCCTTGATCGAAAGCCTCCCCTACTTCTGCCCGTTGTGACGAATCTTCCGAGGAAATGTGCTATGGGCTAGCCCGACGTGGTGGCCGGTGAGCGGGCGATTCCCGATTCCAGGTGAGACAACGGCGACCAACACCAACACCAACAGCAACACCAACTCGGTTGTATAGGTACTCGAGGTACCGTATCTTGTTTGCGCCGCGACGTACCTATTACCTATCGAAAATAGCAGACTGGACTGCGATCCGGCCACTGAGTCAACACATGTACTACCGTATGTAGAGTACTGTTTTTCCTGTCCTGCACTAGCGGGCGTCGCAACACATTCGGCCTCGTCCCGGACGCAGAGAGTGGAGAGAAGAGGAAAGCGCAGGCCCGCAGGCCGCAGCGCCACACGAAGGGCAGCTTAGCAAGCTTAGCAAGCTGATTCGACCGCACACCGGAAGCATCGGTGGGGTGTGTAAGTGATGGTGGGCTGTCGTTCGCTCTATGCCCCCCTGCCCTTAAAGTTCCTCCGTTCCTTCGGGCGGGCTCGTAATCGTTGATTCGAAGGTTCGGTTATCGGCGGGGGCGACCGATGTCTTAATTTCCCCTCCCTTCCTCTGCCGACATGTTCTCTTTCTCCCTTCCTCCCTCCGTCAGGCCCCCCGCGTGCACGGCTCTTATTTGCTGTTGGTAAGACTCCCTTCCAGTCTCGGGTGGCGCAGCAGCAGGGAATACAACATCCCGCACACGCAGGAGCAAGCAGCATTGCAGCGCTGCAGCGCTGCAGCAAGCTTTGAGTTAATCTGCTCTGTTTTTAGCCCAACATGATGATCATGTTCGTTCGATGCGATGCGCGCGGACGGACGGCAGGAGCCAGCACTAGTGGGGATTAGGTACACTACCGTATGTAGGGCTGAGTGACGTATTGGCGTCAGGGAATCGCTGACTGGAAAGCAAAAGCAAAAAAAAACAAACAGCAAAAACAAAAAAACGATAAGCTGTGTGTACTTTATGTCAGTGGGAAAAGCGGGGAAGCGAGACGGTTTACCGCACCGGGAATAACCGTAACCGTAACTATAACGTCATGATCGGATGTTATGTAGAGTAGATATGCTGGCTGGCAGTTGGTGGCGACGGCGTTTGACGGGAGGAAACGAACAGACAGGATGCGCGATATCTACTGCGACGGTGATCGTGACGAGGTAAACGAACGGTTTCGGGAGATGGCGATGGCGCGGCGAGAAACCTGGTGGCGAGGACTTGTCGAGAGTAGAGTACCGTATTCGGGGGTGGCGGCCCTGTAAAGTGTCTGAACGGAAGAACCCTAGCCTCCCCCTCCTCCCCCTCCCCCCAAGCCAAATGATATTGTCTCGTCCGTACCTTGGTAGACCATCGAAGTGTGTGTGTAGATGTGGCGGCCGTATGTATGTACAGTACATACAACCGTCGTAATCGAATCGATGCGATGCGGGATCCTGCCCCTCTGTTGCCAAGTTCAACCGCGTCAGATCGTGAAGATAATGTCAAGGAGGGCTGAGGGCTGTGATGATAAGGCTTAGCCAACCATTCACGGTGGACGTGTCGTAGGTAGATGGAGCAGTGAAACATCGCCAGCCGTTATCGTCTGTCTCCGCGCGCGCGCTTGGAGATAATCTGTCATCATGTACGTCCATCCATCTATCGACGAGTGAGTTGTTATGGCTGTTGCTGGCGGAATCCTAAAACTTATGTGCGGTTAGCTTGCGTTTTAGAGCGAAGATGAGTAGTGAATAGGTACTTGAGAGTAGATGAGCAGTTGAGCGTGAATAGGCAGGTACACCTACCGAAGCGGCCAAGTGCAGAGTCGATGGGCGCCGGCCGGCCAACTCGGACGAAGCCGACGCCCGTCATCGTCGTCGTTGTTGACGGGCGAGAGCCTCTCTCTCTTCCCGTTCATGACGGAATGAGACGAAGACTCACTGCCACGAGGGTAAACCCATGAAGATCCACCCCCAAAGCGCGGCTTGGCGGCTAATTAGCCGTCTTAGCTCCCCAGTTCTGCCCATCCACCATCCATAGATCACCTACAAGATCAAGCTAGTTATCATAGTAGTTAGTGTAAACTTCTTTCGCAAACGTATCTCGGCCGTGTTCGAACCCGCCCTCGCCCCGCTCCCGCCCCTCTTCGGCTTCCTTCATATTTATGCCGGAAGTGCAACCACAGCAATGTGCATTTGTAAGCTCCATCGAGCGAGGGAGAGAGGTCTCGGTCGAGTGATGACGCGTGATCACCGTGGTGGAGAGACGAAGGAATGGGAGGAGTAGGGACCGCCGATGGTGGTGGCAGTGTTAGTGTTGGGGAGAGACCGGCTAGGGCGGACTGCCGACAGCGATATCTGGTGGTGATGGTAGTGGTGGTACGTATACCTACGTTGGTGGAGGATTGATGGTGAATGGACTCTCCAAGCCGTCGGTATCGGTGTGCTGGCCAGCTCGGACGGCAAAGCTTCACTCCAAGAATTCACTGAGAGTGCTAGCCTCCAGGCTATCCCGACTGCTGGTCTCGGCATGCAAACGCTGGCTGGCTAGGTACTAGAATCACGGCAGTGGTTGACGTCGCTGGGGAGAGGGGGGGATCGAAGTGAACGGTAGTTAGTGTCGTTTGGAGCTTGGAGTACCCATTCAACCGCCGATGCAAACCAGCAACGAGAGTCATCGTTGTTGTCGTCGTCGTCGTACCCCTTCCCCCCCTCCCTCCGTCCCTCCCGCTCACTCACCCCGAACCCAGTCTCATCCGGCCCCCAACTCCATGCATCAACTGGCGCACCCCACCACACCATTATACCAGTGCCGGGGCCGACACCGTAGAGAATGGCTGAATGACTGACATCATGTGCCCTTGTGCGTGTGCGTGTCCGTGTGTGTGGAAGGGAGTGTGGATGGGTTGGGTTGGGTTGGGTTGGGATGGGAGCTCTCGTCCGAAGGACTAGGACTTAACGATCTCCATGGGTTCCATGGGTGTGTATGTATGGTGTGCATGGACGTTGGCGGGCTATCCGTGGTGGAGGCGACTGATTTGTTATATATAAGGGCTTGTCCGGCCCCGACCTCCTCCTGCTCAGTGAGGAAGTTCAACAACCCGGAAATCTCAGGCGACATCGGGAAGGAAGGAACGGCGAAGACGGGTGGAGTAGGAGGAGGAGAATGAGGAGGAGGACGATGAAGGGGAGGAGGAAGAGGAAGAAGACGGGCGGGTTGGGAATGCTGGGTGGTGGTGGTGGATATGCAAAGCTGGCCCGAAGAAGCGTGGACCGAACGAACGATCCGGGGACTCCTAGTGGGAAGTTTGCGAGGGCCGTCGAAACGAAACGAAACGACAGAACGAAATCGCCATCGCCATCTCCACCGACACCTTATAACCGACAGCGGCGGGGGATATAATGGAGAGAGAGGAGGTTGGCACTTGAAGGTGGAGAAGCCGAAAGAAAAAAACGATGTGGACAAATATGCGTTGCACCGAGGCACGGACGGAGGACGCTTTGCTGTGTGATTGGTAGTGGGGAGGGCACGTGCGGAACATGAAACGTCTTCGCGGAGGGTGTGGACGATCTTGACTGGGATCGTGGAGTGGTGCCCGGAGGGACATGGGCTGTACTTACGGGTACTCAGTAGGGATATATTGACCGAAGGTTGGTGTATAACGGCGAGGAGGGATGGCCAAGTCCGAAGTGAGAGAGTGTACGGCTCCATCATAGTAGCTAATGACTTAGTGTAGATACATCGAGAGGGAGATGAAGACAATGAGTATGACGAGTATGATGAGGATGGCGGTGGTGGTAGTGATGGTGGTAGTGATATGATGATTCACACGAGCGTATATATACTTTGATACATCTACAAATGCATAGCACGCTTGGGTACACAATACCATCCATATACTTTGAGACTTTGAGCCCGTGAAGACCGCCATTTCCTTGTACGAATATCTAGCATGGACAGACAGCTGGCGAAAGATCCCCTGGCCCATACTGAGCAGTGATCAACAAACCAAAGACCGAAGACTAGGTATATCGGTGATCAACAGCCGGATCACCACGTAAGAGGAGGCGTAGACATGTACAGCGTGTTATCTCCGATCCATAATAGCGGTAATCCACACGATTTCCCGGTATTCGGACATCGATCCAGAACGGGAGAGTGAGGAGAGGTGGCGAGGCTCCTCGGCGCCACGTCCGCTGGGTATTTTTGTAGCACGCACAAAGGCGACTTGTAGATACATCGTTGTGTCCTACTCCTACATCCCACATGCTACATACCTGGACGGCGAACCTGTAAAACCTGTAATTAGCCACTCGTCCACCCATACCTACCGTACCGTACCGCACCGTGCCACTGGTGGATATTTTTCTTCACAGTGGCACAAAAAAAGTTTCCTTACCCACGGAGACCTGTCCATCCGTGATGGTAATGCCCAGCAGCAGCAGCGGTAGTGCCACTACGAGTCGGTCGTTATGCAAACCACAGGTGGCCAACAAAGCCGTTCGATATCTCCAAGTATCTTCCAAGCCAGGCTGTGGGGATTCGAGTGACTTCGTTGCGGGTAATATAGCTGCTCAACCGCTTATTCATCCTTCCTGTCACTGAAGAGTGCGGGGCTCGGGGTCATTAGCCACTTATCCACGGTCCACCCATACCCCGCCGTGCCACTGGTGGATATTTTTCTTCACTGTGGCACAAAAACGTTTCCTTCCTTGCCCACAGAGAGGTCCTAGATACTTACGCTCCTGTCTATCCGTGAGGGGAATGCCCAATACTGAATAGCGGCAGCGAGAGGTGGTCGCGGTGGTGGTGCCACGGGTCGGTCGTTATGCACATTGCAAACCACAGATAGCCAACAATAGATACAACACTCGGCGGGGGGTGGTGGGAGACTGGGAGTGGCCATTGAGTCGATTCTCGCAGGCGGACAGGTCACATACTTGATTGTCACTCCTCCGCAAAGAAAATCCGGTGGCACAGTGAATGAAAAGCGGCAGTCAGTAGCGTAGTGCGATGTAAAGTGTGTGTAGGATCTAGACGAGTGGCAGATGGGACGGTCGAAGTGCTTGGAATCTGGGAAATCGATTCTACTGGTAAGATTCCGAGTGATCGCGAAGTGACGGCCGAAAAGGGATTGCACGTGCACGTGCACCACGCGACCGACCTAACCACCACACACCCGCGTGCGCTCTCGCCCGTAAGTAAGATACACCGAGTCCGTTGCGCTTCATAAGCACCGCTATTCCGCCCACGTGTCTCCCGCGTTTCCTTGCACGTTCTTTGTACTGTTTCATTCCACCCGCTTTGAGCTTGATTTTTGACCCTTGCATCGTCGCACGGACCACCACCAGCCTTAAGTTAATCGACAAACTAGAAGTCGAGTACTAGTAGATAAACTTTCCCCCGCCGGAGCCCCACGTCGACAATTCCACGCACGCAACGACAATCACCACCACCACGCCGCCAGTGCTCACGATGTCGTCCTCAATCCCCGGGCCCCGGGACCTCCCCGTCTCCCGCCACGACCTGAGCACCTACTGGGGCCGCGTCAAGCACAGCGCGGACCTCTGCGATCCACGGTAGACCACCCGCACCCGCGTGCCCCCACTCCCACTCGCTGACCACTCGTCCAGCACGCTCTTCACCTCGTCATCCACGCTCACAGCGTCGCAATCGTCGCTCTCGGCGTACAAGCACGGCGCGCTCCCCTCCATGACGCCTTCGCTCTGGAGCGCAAAGAAAGTCTGCGACGCTACCTTGCACCCGGACACGGGGACGCCGGTCTTCCTGCCGTTCCGCATGAGCGCCTTCATCTTTAGTAACCTGGTGGTCACCGCGGGAATGCTGCAGCCCGGACTCACCACGCGCGGCGTCATCGCTTGGCAGATCACAAATCAGACGCTTAACGTTTGCATCAACTCTGCAAACGCCAATAAGTCCTCCCCGCTGTCGATGACGCAGCTAGGGACGAGCTTTGTACTCGCGGTTAGCGCGAGTTGTGGTGTCGCTGTGGGGCTGGGGAAGTTGGTTGCGAATTTGAAGGTCGCCGATGTCGTTGATGGGAGGAAGGTCGGCCGTGGGGTCACCCCCGGGATGAAAATGGTGCTCGGAAGGCTGGTGCCGTTCGCGGCGGTGGTGTCGGCCGGTATCGTCAATGTGGGGTTGATGCGCGGGGGCGAGATCGCGGCGGGGATAGATGTGTTCCCGTTGAAGAAGGCGCACGCGGACGACGACAAGAGCGACGGAGGACCGGCCGAGAGCTTGGGTAAGAGCAGGAAGGCGGCGATTCTGGCGGTCGGCGAGACCGCGGTCAGCAGGGTGCTCAATGCTACACCTATCATGGTCATTCCCCCGTTGCTCCTCATGCGCTTGCAGAGGACAGAGTGGATGAAGAGGAGGCCGGGCATGGCGCTGCCGGTCAATATCGGTATGTCTCTCTTTCTCCTTCTCCTTCTCGACATGTTCGCTAATTCTATCCTCCAGGTCTGATCTTCGCCACCTCTATCTTCGCGCTCCCCCTAGCTCTGGGAGCATTCCCGCAACGCCAGGCCGTCAAGGCCGATAGTCTCGAGCCCGAATTCCACGGTCGCGGCGGCGTCGACAGCAAGGTCGAGTTCAACCGCGGCATTTAGATACCATATCATACCTACATACCGGTGCTGTTGTTTGCGGTGCTTGCTTGGGTCAGTGGAAGTGGACATAGAATTAGAGTTAGATATCCGGATGGCGTGGTGTGGCGGGGTGGGGCGGGGCGGGGCGTAACTACTGTTGAAATCGATTGTCCGTCAAGATGGAGCGATTTCCGTGCCGTGACACCTATCTATTATACCACTTTCAGTCTGTGCGGTCGGCGTGATGCATCCAATGCATCAAGATACTGTGCATAATCTACCGCATGCACTCACCACTCACCAGATACCGATGCCGCTCCCGTTGTGTGTAGAACGATCCCTCATGCAAGGGAGAGACACAGAGACAGCCTCCCATCCCCGGCAAAACTCGCCCTGCCACTCTCCGTTATGCATACATCATGTAGGCGCGTTGCCGGGCGAGACCACAGGCGAGATGCCGGTCAAGACCTCGGGCTCGGGTATTTGCTTCAGATCATGGTGACACCGAACTGAGCATGGTCGTCGCGAGGGCGTCACCATGCATGTACGTTGTCGGTAGCATCGGGGAAGTTCGATCTATACTCTATCTGTGTATGGTATACACCTTCATCCGACGACCGCCTCCGGTGCATGCGCGTAACTCAAGCGAGGTTCTGCGAGATTCTGCGAGAGGGAAATCGCACACTACTACACTACACTGGGTTACGTGCGGAATTCGAGTCCAGGTATGGCATACACACGCACACACGGTTGTAGCATCCTGCTGGCTGACTGGCTGGACCGTGCGGGGGATCGAGAACACGGGATTTCCGGCACGGGGTAGTTATGGGGCACGGGATGTGGGGTACAGGTAATCGTGAGCCAAAGCGGAGAGCGCGCACTACAGCAGATCAATTAAGCTCGGTGGGCTAGGAAACCACAGCCAATTCGGTCCTGTGCGCATACGGCGGACAGTGGACTATTTGTGCACCTATTATTCATACCTATATGAAGCCTGCACGCCCCCAACTGCTCAGCCTAGGTGTCCAGCACCGCAGCCGCAACATCTCCCCTCGCCATATCCAGCTCCCCCATCTCCCCATCCGCATCCCCTTCCCCGCCACACGTCGCCAGCATGCTCCCCAACCTCAGCCTGCTCAGCGCCCTCGCCGCCTTGGCCTTCCCTCTCTTCGCCTCGGCGGTCGTCCGTCCCTGCGAGCCCGCCGCAAAGCCCGACTTCTCATTCGCATCCGCCCTCCCACGCAACGAGACGCCCGCGGCATTCCCGCTGCCGGTGCCCGTGCTCACGGCGGACTTCCGGATGGTCGTCGATCTGAACCCTCGCGTCTCTGTCGGCGCCGGCCCGTGGGGCCAGCGGAACTGGATCTCGTTCACTGGCGGGCGGTGGGCGGCGAGCTGGGGGAGTGGGGTTGTTGTTGTATGCTCCCTTAGAAAGCTAGAGAAAGCTGGTGCTGATGCTGTGTAAACACAGGAGGGCGGCCAAGACTCGCAGCTCGTAATTGGCGACCTGTCCGCGCGCCTCGACACATCGTACCTTCTCGCGACGAACGACGTTCCGCCAGCGTACATAGCGATACGCACGCAGGGGTGGCGGACCGGGCCGCGCGAGGTGCTGGAGCGCCTGGGGAACCCGGCTACGGCGGATGCGGTCGCCCCCGCGGAGTATAGCTTCCGCCTTTACATCTCGATGGAAACGGGCGATGGCAGGTATAATCATACCAATACTAAGATGTGGATTGCCTCCGGCGCCAGGCTCGGGTCGAAGGTGGTTTATGATGCGTATTTGGTGTAGTGCTGGGGGAGAGAGGGAGGGGAGGGGGGGGGGGGGGGGGGGGGGGTAATGATGGGAGGGTTGTGCAGGCGGCAGTGGGTGGGCTGAAGGAGGAAGAGTGTATGTATTAGCCACCAGCGCATATAAAAAAACAGACGAGTTTGCATCCCGCACCTATTTCCTGAGCCAAACCGGCCTCACAACCGCCCACTCCTGCTGCTCCGCAGTGATCCACACTCCGCCGTCGACGCATACACTCCTGCGGACCTTGAATACACACTCCGCGCAGGCCCGATGGCGACACGGCAGCGGACAGTGCCACTGGTACAGCGGACTGGGCAGCATCCCGCGCTGGTGCAGCTCGTGAAGCGTTTCGGCCGCCGCGGAGGCCGGCAGCGCACGCCCGAACAGGTAGAACTCTGCTGAGCAGCAGTGGCACGTGAAGGAGAAGTCAATCTTCGTCGCTGTGAGCGGCGCGCACGAGCTGCGGAGTTGCGGGGGCATTATGGGTGAGGGGATGGGGGAGAAAGGTGCTGGGTTGAGGTCCGTAGGGATGCGGACCATGCAGTGGAGAGAACGAGGGGCGGGCTGAGGAGGGGGTTGTTTGATGTGAGGTTGGTGATGTGAGGAAAATGAAGTGGATGCGCTGAAGTGAGAATGGAGAGAAGTGAGGATGGTGAGAGCGGTGGAGCGAGGTGTGGATGATGAAGGCGATGTAGTGGTAGAGCAGCGACGACGTGGGGCCAGGAACTTCGCTGGTGAAGATCAAATACAAAAGCCGCCTTCTATGTGCTTGACCAGAAGCAGGTGCAGGAACAAAAACAGAAACAGAAAACAGAATAGAATTGGCGGATCGACACAACGATTCCAGCATCTCGCGCGCGCCGACGTGTCTTATACTCTGCGGTGCTCTTCGATTCTCTCTGAAACAAAGTAGTCGATCGCGGACACAGGTATCTGCCAGATTGATCGGATGAAACGTCTGACAGCTGTCGCGAAGTGCCATACACGCAATCAGGCGATGTCACTCGGATATCACTAGCCACATGGGTGTGGTACAAGGTGCATGTGCACCAGCCACTAGCCACAGGGCGTAGCAAGGGATTAGTGTTGTCTCGCCGACACGATCGGACAAATGCAAACGAGACGTTCCGTGGCGAACGGAAGATACTGGACTTCCGAGTGACGAGGTATGTTACGTATTTGACTCCTTAGAACGCCCAAGACAACATCTTGTCGCTCTATTGACATGGAAGGTGTCGTTTAGTTCATTTCTTCCCTTTATCGAACCTGCGAGATTCCATTTAGTTCGAAGCTCGCTCGACAGGAAGTGGTGAAGGTTGTAACTTGTTGGTCACGGAACAGATGAGCTGTTGCCTTTGCCTTTGCTGTAATACGTATGATGTCCTTCACGACAGATCACTTACTATACACCGCCAACATTCAACAAAAATGCACGATTAACTGCTGCAGTCGTACGGTGCTATAGTTTTAGGTGCGATTTAAGGATTCAGAGAACCAACTTCGAAGGCGTCGTTTCGGCTCAAGCGATCTCACGCGGTTATACTTCCACGATACAAACTTACAGACGCACAAGCCACGCCCCACAGAGCCAGCGGGAGCCTTCTTTGACACATAACCCCCAAGGTAGCCGCACGTACGTATGTAAGCCAACCGGCCCGCGCCGTCTCTCACAGACTCGCAACCCAGTCGACGAAAACGGACACGCACGTGGGCCGGCTGTAACCGTTCCATGGCCGCGCACTGCGCAGTTGCTGGCCCGCAGAGGTGTTTGACTGTTGACAGACTTTTTCCATGGCCGGTGGCCGCACAGGTGCCCGAGGAGACAGAGTTTTCATATACTCCCTGACCTGGGCGGGTTGGCTCTGCGTTCTTATACCTCATCCCCTCTCTCCCTCTCTCTCCCTTTCGCTGTTCAGTCCCCACGAAGGGCGCACGCACGACGGGGCAGTAGAGATACCGCTTCCCCCCCCCCCCACACACACACCTCTCTCGACGACATGCTTCGCGCGGCACCGGACAATCTTCGAATCTTGACCTCAGAGATATGGCCGCGGGGCACTCAATCGACTTTCCCTTCCTGTCGCAACCGTCCCCCCTACCACCAAGTCGAGAGTCAAGATTCCCAACCCTCGCGCGCGAGACGCCGGTGTGTGTGTGTATGGAACTACTAGGTATACGCATGAAGGTCCGTCGCCGACTCGCAATACGGACGACCCATCTGGCTTTGAGGAATGCAATCATGCGTGCACCGCAACAGTTTCGGGACCCGGCGATCGCAGGTTTGGACCGTTTGGTGGGCGGACGGAAGTCGGCGCATCCGCCGTTATGATAGTAACAGAGACAGGTTAATACGTACTATTTGTTTCTCCGCTCTCCGCCGGTTCGCCGGTTCGTTATTTTCGAGAAGCACTGCTCAGCGAGCAATCAGAATAGCCCCCCAGGGCCCCCACTACCCCCAAACCCAAACCCCGTACCTGCGTTTTCAACCCTCCACCCCACCTCCCAAGCGCCCCGCAAACAAAACAAACATAAAGATCTCACCCACCACCATCCACCGTCCACCGTCCACCGATCGGAGCCTGCCACCGTTTAGCATCTGACTATGTGCATACATATAGTAGGTAGAGTACTCTAGCCTCGCTGCAGATCAGATCCGTCCGTTGTGATAAGGTATATACATACATCCTACACACCTACACAGGGTGGGGTGGGGTGCATGGTGACGACGGTTGCTTGTGATATCACATACCAGCGGTACCGGTACCGGGCGGACGTCGGCATTAACTACAGTCTACAGCTGCGCGCTCCCCCCAGTGTCCACATCGGGACGAGTTCTCCTTCGAATATATGTCCGGTTTTCACGATGGGATGGGGATGGACGTGGCGGGGCAGATAAGAGCCGCTTTCCTCTCTGGGACGGTTGGGGGCGCCGCCCCCAATTGCCCGTGCGGAACCAGCCGACGACCTGCAGTCTGCAGAGGCGGAGGGAGCAGGCAGGAGGAGGCGGCTCATGCTTAACTTGACGGCCGGCGATCCAGAGTCGACCGATCGTTAACGGCGCGCGCTCTTGCCTCACGAGATTCCTTGTCGGCCAGCCTCACCGCGCGCCACTCCGGCCGGTCGTCAACATCCGCAGTGATTCGCACGGGATGATGTTACCGTGGAATCTAGATACAGCAACATGCGCGGCCCGGCGCATGGAAAGACGGGGGCGATAGTGATTCGTCGCGCGTAGTAGTCTGCAAAATCTGGGGGAAATCTAGGGGAGGCGACTCAGGCGAGGCTGCCGTGCTCGTGAAAGAAGGTACCGTAGTCTGCAGTTTCGGTGGGACATCGATGGGGAATCGAAGGGAGGCGAGGCTGCAGTGCAGTGCTTGCCCATCCGATCCGATCCATGTCACTGCTTCACTGCTCGGCCGGCACCGAGGACGAGTCAGGAAGGACCAATGGGCTGGGAACTTAGAGAGGGGGGGCGAGGACCAACCGGTAGGGGTGGGTCGACAACGGCGACAAGCGTAGGGCGGGGTGATGGCCCCTCGGAGAATATGATTGATCCATGTCGCATTCTTCCATTTCGTTGCCGATTCCGGCTGGCAGAGGGCTAGTCAGTTATGGCAGGGGGGCTCCTGATTCGCTGGCTGGGACTCCAAGTGTGCGGTTCCTGAGAGAGGTGAGACACGCGGCGCGATTGGCTGCGCGGGTGATGAGAGTGATGTGTACGCGAGCTTGGAATTGGCAGGCTCCTGTCCACGCCGTTCGCGATGTTTGATGTTTGATGGGAGAGGCCTCGCCACACGGGCGGCGCATTGCTGGCGTTTACTGGAGCGCCAGGTCCCCCGTGCCACTCCCCCTTCGCTTGCTCTGTCTATGCCACCCCATACACACAACGCGGCGTGGGCATGAAGCACCCCATCTTCGCCGCACCCTGTTTTGTTTCCACCAGTCAGAGCACCCCCGAGACGGCGGAAACATCAGCTGTGGAGCCCGCGCTCAACACGATACCTGTACCACAGAGGGCTGAGATTCCCCAGCTCAATACGATGAATGTTCCTCAGCTCAGCCCGGCTGCGCATGCACACGAGCTGACCGTCCGTACGTCGGCGCAATCCGCATAAATGCGAGAAGGAAGCTGTCGACTCGCGCATCGATCCCTCGGACCGTTCAGTGTTCAGTTCACACGACGACCCCCGCACGCACCTACCAGTATGTCCGTCGTCGCCGCGTGCCTACAAGGGTAGCGATCGTCATGCGTTCGCTCCTCCGCCACCTGGTTCTCTCCAGCAAGCATTAACCGCGGGCGGGCCCTGTCGTTCTGTTGTCCAATGTCCCTTCTGGGACAAGACGAGTTTACGCGTCGAACGAGTGGCCGGATGCGATAACGAGACGGTATCGGCCGGCCGGGTGTGGTTTTACTACGGCCTGTGGCCTGCGGTCTTCGGCAGGCGGATAGCCACGCTGCAGACTGCAGTTTTGACGTGCGTGACGGCCATGCTTTGCGCATACGTCTATCATAGAGTAGAGTAGAGTACTGCAAGCAAACATGGACCAGGGCTGGGATGGTACTTGCGTACTATACAATGGACAGTTACTAGGTACACAGGTGAATCCACCCTCTCAGCCCCCCAGTCGGGATGTTCCGAGGAGTATGAGATAAGCTACCACCTACCAGGAGTAACCGTACAGGATCGTCACAGGAGATCGGGGAAATTGGAGTCGGATAGTAGCGCAGTTTGAAGGGGGAGAGCACCTGTAAAGCAGCAGGCGGGAGGCGTCATTGCGACCCCGTGCTTCAGCTTCGTCGAAACATATGGCTACACCATACCTGCTACTATCGTGGACGGAGCGAATGAAACCGTATAAAGAAGCTCCAGTCCGTTTCCAATAACAGCTCCTACTCACCATCCACCCATCCATCCGATCACCAAGGCCAGCCAGCAGCAGCCTCTTCCTTCTTTCCAGTGCAGTGCAGTCACATATCCGGTCTTTTACCACCAGTCCCGCCCAAAATGCGTCTCTCAACAGTATTCACCCTCGCCTTCGCGGCCTTCGCCTCCGCGACCCGCAAATGCGGCACGGTCGAGCCCTCCGCCGAGTTCATGGCGAGCTCCAACGAGGTGATGACCAGCTTCGCCGTCACCGACGTGCACGCGCAAGCCATCGTGGTGCCCGTCTACTTCCACGTGCTGCGCAGTGGCACCGCCGTGTCGCAAGGCAACATCGGCGACGCCGCACTCTACGACCAGCTGGACGTTCTCAACGCGGACTACGCATCGGCGGGGATCAGCTTCAACCTGCTGGGGATCACGCGCACCACCAACTCCGCCTGGTACAACGACCAGGCGGAGTCCGCCATGAAGGCCGCGCTGAGAAAGGGCGACTACGGCACCCTCAACGTTTACTTCCAGAACTTGAGCGGCGGCATCCTCGGGTACTGCTACTTCCCCGAGTCTAGCCCGTCCGCGGCTACCATCCGCACCGACGGCTGCTCCGTCCTCTCAACTACTGTCCCCGGCGGCTCCGCCTCGAACTACAACCTTGGACGCACTCTGACTCAGTAACTACCCCTCCCCTCCCCCCTCCCCCCTCCCCCCAGATGATACAGGATGCTAACACCCACCAGCGAGGCCGGCCACTGGTTTGGCCTGTACCACACCTTCCAGGGCGGGTGCACGGGCGGCGACAGTGTCTCTGACACGCCGGCGGAGGCGTCGGCCGCGTCTGGCTGCCCGACCGGACGGGATACCTGCTCGGCATCCGGCGTTGATCCCATCCATAACTTTATGGATTATTCGTGAGTTCTCCCCTTCGTGGTTGTGATGTGAGAGTAGGGGCTGATGGGACAAACAGTTACGATTCTTGCATGTACGAGTTCACACCCGGTCAGGCGACTAGGATGAACACCTTTTACAACAACTACCGTTAAAGCGGCTGCTGTCCGTGGCGGTGGCACATAGGAAAGGAGGGGAAAAGTGATGTGATTTATGATGTGATATGATGCGGGATATGGGCTATGATACCTAGACGGCCGGGACGAGGAGGGTGGACGGGATGGGAGGGGATGGGAGGGGATGGGATAGGACTTGTACTTATTCAGTTGCGGCCTGCTGGTGCCGTGCCAATGCCAATTTTTCTGTTGATGTTGATGTTGATGTTGAGCACTCGGTTGCATGTTGATGTTGATGTTTGCTCGGTCAAGTAGTCATCCATGCATCCCTCCCACAGTGAAGAAAGTTGCAACCTCCACCCCACGAACGAGCGGAACACGGTGGCGCGGGCGACGAGCGATGGTTGACGAGCTGAATCAGGCCGCACCGGGTCATGCAGCCTGCAGGTGTCCAGAGAGAAGTAAGCTCCAGTCTTTGGGTAGCAGTAGCAGTATCACTGGCCGGCGCTGGAACGGCGGACCGGCGGAACGTGTATGTGATCAGGTTTTTTATTTTTATTTTTTACTCGTCATTAACGATTGCATCTGAGCTTGGCAGATCATGGCAGATCATGGCAGATACATGTACTGTCTTCTACTGTGGCCCTGTGGGACTCAGCGGAAACGAAGCCTTGGAAAGGCCGTTTCGACCCCGGGGCTGCAGACCTGCGTTGAACGGACGGGCTAGAAATTGTGAACTTGCTGGGACCTGGTGGGACCAGCTGCGATGGTCTGTGTTTGTTTTGACTCGATTTGAGAGCGGGCAGGGTCGACGCACGAACGGCGAACTTTAGCCGACCGACCTGGTGTACGTTTTGTCGGCCGGTCTGTCTGTTTCCTCCTCCTCATCATCATCATTGACCTCATCCCTGCTCATCATCATTGTTGTCGTTCTCATTGTCGCTTTTGCTGTTCTCGTCGTTTTTTCGCCGTTGCTCGGTCTCGCTCTTCGTCGTTGCTCGGTCTCGCTCTTCGACATGTAGCGAGGTTCTCGAGGGACCCCTGGATAACACAGGTGTCACGTTCTCTTGCATTGTCGTTCTTCTCTCTCCTGAAATACCATCGGTCTGTCGTGACTCGTCTTTACCAAACTTGCCAAGAGGGTGGTCCACGTCCCCAGCGCGTCTCACTACCCATAGTCGACGTCCTGAGCTCAATGCGGGACTCCCTATTACCATCTAGCCACTGTATGGCCGTGTAGGCTGTCTAATCTACGCGGTAGGTAACAGGTTTTACTAGTCTCGTTGTACCACTAACTCCCCGCCGAGCGGCGATCGCGAGTGATGCCTCGTGCCGTGACTGCGGCGGCCTCGTCTCCCCCGCCCCCGTCCTCGGTCCTTGGCGCGAGACGGCTCGCTCGCTCGCCCGCTCTGCTTCTTCCCCGAGGGACACCTGGCGGCCTCTGTGCTCCTAGAGTATAGCTACATGATCCCTTAGATCGTCAAAAATATTTCACCGTAACGGAGAGCGAGTGGGGGATGCAGAGGGTAGTCAAAATTGGGTCACTACATATGTAGCAAGGAACCGCTCTCCCGCCGGCTGAAGAAGGCTGGCTGCTGGCATGTGGTGCGGGCAAAGGTGGTGCGGCGATGGCGGCGAGGGATCGCGTAGTCGGCCGCACAGTCACCTCACCATACCACTTGACAGCAGCCCGACATCATAACCTACTTCACACTGGTTGCCTCCACCCGTCTGTCTCTCCACCCCTTCAGTGCCGTAGCTTGTCGAAGTGGAAACAATCAAGGGGATGACGAGAAAACAAGCAACCCGCCGACAAAATAGAGCAAACAAGAGCATTCTGAAAGCTTGACCCCACCGCATCGGGTCTGACCAGGTCAGCGAAATTTCGCCGCTCGTGCATTAGCCATACCCGCTCTCCACTCGAATCAAAACAAACACCTCCGTACATAGTTAAACACGCAACACAGCTAGCAGCTGGTCCCAGTTAGTCCCAACCTATTCACGACGTCTAGACAGTAGGTCCCTCTCAGGGCTCGTGCGTCAGCCATACATATACACTCTCCGCTCAGATCAAAACAAACACTTCTGTACATTGTCCCACACGCAACGCAGCTGGTCCTACCTGGTCCCAGCCTATTCACGACTTCTGGACAGTAGGTCCCTCCCAGGTCCGCTGAAACCGACCGTCAAGTCGTCGATTTCAGCTGTGTCCCCAGTATGTTCCTAGATTAGTTCCTTGGTGTGTGCGGGCTTGCGGGGATGGCGGGGATGCGGCCTCAGTACCGGCGGCGGTCTCAGTACCGCTCGCAATAGGCCCGCACTAGCCCGCACTAGCCCGTCACGATTCCGCATAAATATCCGCCTCCCCCGCTCTCCTCTCCTCTTCCTTCTCTCCCTCATCTCATACATCCATCAATCTCAACATTCTCACTCCTCACTACCTTCGGTAGACATCCACCCCAACCTCAATCAACTCCGTCTTATGCGGGCATAAGCCGCCTCCGCCGCCGCCTCCGCCGCCGCCGCAACAGCAGTACGACACGATGTTGTCGCCATATTTATTTCTCTCCGACCCTCAGTGCCGCAACACCACATAATTGGTATGTACTCTATCTACCCCGTTGTGTATCGTAGGAGATGGCTATGCGCTTCTACATAGTTAACTAGAGTATGCTAATATGATGATATGATGCTTGTAGGCGCCTTTTCCATCCTCGCCGAGGCCCACCGCTGTAGTTGTGGCCACCGGTCCTGCTCCCCCAGCAGAACTCGTCCTCGATGTCCACGCCCCAGGTGAGAGACGGACGGTCCTTTTGTACCATATGTCCCCTCTCACCTGACTTGCGGACGTTCCAAGAATCTGCACGGGTGCTGGAATTGTTGAGCGTTTAGAGCTCGATCCGGGGCTTGGAAAGGGGATGGTTCGTTTTGTCGACGAAGAAACCGCCGAAAGCTTTCTTGAGCGACCCGCGAACGGTATCCTCTATAGGGGCGTGGCCGTTGTTTTCCAACCCTGCATGGTGGAAAATGCCATTCTCGATTACATGAGGAATGCAATCTAAAATGGTGTCCGCAGAATCCTGCGGATTGTAGGGGCCGATGCTTGAGTGGGACTTAACTTTCCCGTGGTTGGTCCGGTGAAGAAGATGATGGACCAGTTATGTGTTGTCTGTGTTTTGTTCTGTGTTTTGTTCTGTGTTTTTTTCTGTGTTTTTTTCTGTTTTTGCTTTCTGTTTTTGCTTTCTGTTTTTGCTTTCTGTTTTTGCTTTCTGTTTTTGCTTTCTGTTTTTGCTTTCTGTTTTTGCTTTCTGTTTTTGCTTTCTGTTTTTGCTTTCTGTTTTTGCTTTTTGTTTTTGCTTTCTGTTTTTGCTTTCTGTTTGTTTTTGTTTTTGTTTTTCTTTCTGTCTGTCTGTCGGTTGAGCGAGGAGGTTTAGCGGGAGGATGGGTGGAGATGGTCGGGCGGGGAGGTTGAGCGGAGAGGGAACGAAGAGGTGGTGGCGGGAGTGCTGGATGAGGCGGTTGACTTGGAGGGGATCGACCTCTTGGCCTTATTTTCTGGTCAGAAGCGTGGTGGAAAAAGATATGTAATTTGCTATGATCTACTACATAAGGTCGAATGCAATGATGATTAAACATAGAAAAATGAAAATACCTAGTAAAACGTTCCGGAGAATGCTCGAATACCACGAGTAAGGCCTAACTGACTACGGTATGTAAGCAACTACATGGTGCATACCACCTTTCTGAAGTTTGAACCGACGATACCGGTAGACTGGTCACTACGAGCGCGTGAATACTAGGGCGAGAAATACGATAGGTACAGGACGAATGAGGTGACTGGTCCGTCGGAGGACATGGACATGGAGAACACGGGTAGCAGGGACGGGGAACTGTATTTCCCTACATCAAGTAGTTGAACGTAGTTACGGGAGGTTTGACGGGACGAGAACTGGACTATCATACCAGCAGGTACCTATGGTAGGCTACCGCTTTCGGCCACCGCTTCGAAGCTGGCCGATATGCGATCCAGCCTACATACGCCCGCCAGGCCCGCTCTCCTCACGCGCATGCGTAGCTCTGACCGTTTCAGCTCCGTGCCCCTCGCTTCCGTGGGTGAGCGACTCGCGAGGGCAACAGGTGGTGGTGGAATTGTCGAAAGCCGAGTGACTGTCATGAACGAGTGCACGGAAGGAAGCCTGCCTACTGGAGTATTGGCACCCGGGGACGTCGCATCTCGTGCACGGTATAGTAGATTCATCGGCACGCTCACATCTCCATCTCCTCACACTGTCTGCACAGACTTATCTATTCTCTGCATCCTTCATCATTAAGCATTACTATCCACTAGGTAGTTCCGAGTAGAGTAGAGTAGAGTTTATCGCGTTACACCTTCAACATCCCCACCGACGCCCTCCCACTGCACCTCGACCTTCCGATCCCCCGCCGGCGCCTCCACCTCCACCTCCGCCGGCGCCTTGACCACCACCACCACGTATGCGTGTCCATGAGCATGTGCACCCGCCTCCTCGTCCCCCCGCCCCTCCGTCCTCCGCGTGTACACAGCCAGCAGCAATTTCGCAGCCAGTACTATGCTTCACAGCTCGTCAGCAACGAACGCCACGTATTGCACGAGAGTGTTAAGTACCATAGTGTCGCAGCCGCACCAACATTCCCCCACTGCCACTGCGCCCTCCGCGCGCACACGCTCCCGCCCAGACTCGCGCACCACAGCGCCAGCGACAACGTATCTGGCAGCACCACCTCCAGCGTGCCCAGGTTCTCGCGCGACGAGGAGATGTTCAGGATTGCTGTGAGGAGAGTGAAGGCTGCCTGATTTCCTGTTAGGTTAGCGGGGGTGGTGGCAGGGGCGGGGGGAGCGGGGAGGGGGGGACAAGGATGGGGGGACAAACGACAACTGTGGTGGTGATGGACTCCGCTCCGGTCGAGGAGGATGAGAGAGAGGGCGAGGGCGCCAGGCGGCTCCAGACGCTGGTTAGGAGCACGGTTGAGGAGAGCAGGAGTTGCAGGATTATTAGTGGGCGGAGAGCGCTGGGCCAGCGTTGGCGGACGGTGCGGCGTGGGGTGGGGGTGTAGTAGTGTTCGCACATGGTGGGTATTGGTGTATAGAGGATGGGATCGCTGTTGTCGTGAGAACGCGAAGTAAGAATCCCGTCCGTCCCGACAGAACGAGGGAGGGATGGGAGGAGGGAGGGGCGATGTCGAGATAGATATACATATGCAGACACCAGACACTCTGTACGTAGGCATCGACACGGCATCGACACGACCACCACCACCACCACCACCACCACCACCACCACCACCACCGCAGTGGTCGACAGTCTCCTTGCTTTTTTTCTGCTAGGAGCGAACGAACGAACAAGCAAACCTCATGCATGCAGGGTGGAGGGGAGGGGGCACTGCTGAGCGAGCCAAGAATTCCAACATGCACAACCAGCGAGTCAGCGACCACTGGGCAGTAATCGAGCTGTTGGTTACATATGTAGAGTTGGTGAGTAGAGTATAGTACAGGTCGCTCCGGTGAGGCTGGACGACGCGGCCACGGCGGCGGCGGCATTCCCGAGCAGCGCACGAACGCGCTGCAGTTCCCGGATGGGGATGGACGGATATGTCGCCGTTGGTTCGTGCGGAGCACACGACCTGATGAATTCGAACAGCCTGCCCGCCCGCATCTCACACACTTGGCACCTCCGAGCGCGAGAGCGAGAGTGCCGGTCTGTGGCGGCACGATTCGCTAAGCCATTCCGTTCTCTCGCGCTCCTTTTCACTGCTCAGTGCGCAGTGCTCAGTGCTCCGCGACCTGCGGTGGAATTCTCGCTCGCCAATGTCGTGCTCCGTTCTCGGAGTCTCAGACAAAGACTCCCAAGTACGGTACGCCGTGAACAGGTACCGATGTCGGATCATCGCTTAGTGCGCTCGGTAAAATCTAGTCTTACACCAACCAGCCGGGCCCTCCTGAGTCCTCACCCTTCGACATCAGAATCTCGAGGACGGCCCATCCAGCTTCGAGGACTGAAGCAAAACCTGCGCCCACTCAGGTTCCACAGCCGACCTCTCGATCGCTCGCTCGCCCCTCCCCTCACTCCCACTCCCACTCCCGGGCCGCATCATGCACGCATGCGGCATGCCCAACTTCCCTCCCTCGCAGCCTCGCAGATCTTCAAAGTTCGGGCGCGTTGTGCTTTCTTTTTTTATATGCATAGTTGGGTAGCTATTGGTACATACTTCTTCAACACCACCGACAGACACGGGGAATACAGATCGCCGCTGTGAGGTGGGTGAGAGAACGGCCGTGACGATATCAATAATCAAGCTTCGAAGCGAAGACGGAGAGGGGCGGGCGGGCGCTTATTCACATCGCATGGGGGCGGGGTCGGCTGTGTAATCCATAACGGATCCAGGCCCGCTCTATACTGTGCTGCATAGCACACAACGATTGATTACATACCTATCCCCGCGTCGGCGTAAAGCCTATGCTCCGCAGGCGCGTGGAACTCTGGCCGCTTTCGAGGACAACTCCGCTGTCGTACCGACTAACTAGTGCTCGTCGGCCGCCGCTAGTAACTGTACTCCAACTAGGTGCCTACCTAGCCACGTGCGCCCAGGGTGGCTGAGCTCCCACTGGCACCCACCCAAACATCTGGTAGCGCGAGTGATGGGTTCATACCTCCCTACATCCCTATATATTCAACTATTATGTATTCCCGCGCTTCCCAACCAGTCATCGATTCGTGGGTCGACGTGCGAACCCCGCGGCGGCGGTGGGGAATCGGGGGTAAACGTCTTGGTCAGCTATGCATGGCACATATGTAAGCGCCCGGGGGAGAAAGCTTGGAGTAGGTACTCTACTGAGTTACCCAACCCACCGCGCCTCGGTGTGCATAAAGTGCATAAAGTGCTCTTTCTGCGGTGTTGGATTTGTACGAGGTGATTACTACACGGTATAACATAGGTAGTACGGTGGGTACCGGCGATAAAGAGCGCCACTGTAGTGGGGGTTGAGGCTGATATGGTCCTGACGAGTTTGTGGACGGGTTTCTGCGAGTTCCAAGATGGGTTGCGAAGGTTGAGCGGTAGGTACACCGTACGAATGGAACCCTGTCGGATCGATTCCGTTGGTACGTACCTACCTGGGTGCCTATGCACTACCTATACTTGTGGGGAGGGGGGCTATACTGGTACATGAGATGTCACTCACGTCGGTGGTATAGAGTCTGAGTCGTGACCGATGCGACGAAAATTATGGGGCTCTGTGGCTAGGGAGGTCTGTGGCAAAGTTACTGTGGCTTCCGTATGAAAGGAGTGACTGGTCAGAGTAAAAGAATGGCGGTGTCACTAAAAATCAAGATCTGAAGGGCCGTCGCAATTGGCACGGGTGATTAGCTATGAAGGGCTCCTGAGTGGTGATGGATAACTCGTACAGCTAGACAACTGTCGGACATAGCAACATCAAACTACAGTTGAGAGGCAAGAATCACGGTAGGCTGCTTGGACTGACGGACGTTCGGGTAGGAAACTAATATTCGTCAAGTTTACTTCGGACGTCTTAGCGCGTGTCTTGTGGATGAATAGAATTTAGATAGTATGTAGTGGAGATCGAGCCCTTCGCTCAACTTCCGGGATATGTGAAGTACCTACCAAGTTGGTAAGAATAAGAGGTGTGAAACAACAGCATGGACCGGGAAGATGATGCGCGCCCCGGCTCCGGGTATCCTGTCCGCTTTCCACCCACGACCTCGAACCGACTTCGATCAGTCTGCAGGCGGCAGACGGCTCGTTGTGTCTCCTCCCCACCCGCCCACCGCCCCCACAAAGGTCCAGATTGCACCAAGGAAACCACAAAGGAAGGAAGAAATCAGCGCCTTACTCGAGGGCCTCGGCTCGCAAACCGGGATAATTCCGAGTGATCGCTGCACCCCCGAGCCCCCAGCCAAGTGCCCACGGCAGCATCCAGCCGTGGAACCCCATAACCGGTCACTCCTACCACGCATTTATGCAGCCATGCGGACCACCGATTGGATATACTGCTACGACTTGCATCCCGCCTACACTCGGCTGGGATGCCGCGATACCACTCGAGGCTGCCACGGTTGAGTCTTGACCGGCGGAGTACGGTACCAACAAGTATGGACATGGCCGAGTGGATAATGACATAACACAGGCTGCCTACCTACTCATAAGCTTGTGCGGTCCAGCCTTTAAGTTGAGGCGGACATGCAGCGCGCAGGGCCTGTACTCTGCATATGTCGGAAGTGAGGGAACGGGGGTGCCGCGTGCGGGGGGCCCAGGTGTGCAGACTGCAGACCAGCGGATTTAAGGCTGGTTATCTTCCTCTTGGTCCACGTGGACAGCCCTATCGATACACTCCTGCCACAGATATGGTAGGGCGTCGATGCATCTCGCATTACTTCTTCCCCATCCACTCTGTGGGGGCCAGCCTATGTAGAGCATTGTGCGTCAGCCTTCCCTTCCCCACGGATCGTTGAACACGGAAATTAATCCTAGATCATGGCGGCCGCGGGCCATCACGATTCCCAATCTTGCCTTACCAGTCAGCGAGCACGCTGCAGTGCGGTGCAGCTTGATCCATGACGGAATCCGGAATATCTGCAGCGGTCACGACGCACTCTGCAGCGGATAAATGCGCGCGGTTCCCTGAGCCCTCGTTCCTGCACATATGTAGGCCGGAGACGCAGTGTAACCCGCCCGAGTTAAATACAACCGTCTACTGGTCTTTCCGCGCCCCGCGGTCGTTGACGAAGTAAGCGCTGGCCCAGTTGCGACGACAACGACGGTTTCCCCACGAGATACATAGCAGTACGAATATGCCCGACGCCCGTTCCACCCGCTCGATTTTCGCAGCATTCAGGCATGCACGTCCGGGTGCGGGTCCGGCTTCGACTTTAGGTTTTTGCAGCCATGTGCGGTGTGCGTAATTTACTCCGCTGCATTTTTAAATACAAAGTTTGCAGTGTGAGCTCGCAGCTCTCAGACAAGCCATGCCGTCACGCGACCAGTACAATGCGGCCATCCCCACAGCTGGGGCTTCATGGCCCATATGTAAGCGGCCGTACTGGTCCTCCGAGCAGGGCGGTGGATATACTCCCTGCGACCTCGCCCCGTCCGCCCCATGGTCCATCCGGGTCCCGCACCGTTCGTTCGTGCGCAACTTCGCAGAAGCCGCATCAGGTGCTCGCGTGACATTATCTATTGCAGCCAGCTGGTTAGCTAGCAGTGGTAGTAGTAGTAGTAGTAGTAGTAGTAGTAGTAGTAGTAGTAGTAGTAGTAGTAGTAGTAGCTACCGCCAGTTTCACATCCAGAATTCACATGCTCCAGGAGAATCCAGATACCTAGATAAAAAAAGCTAAAAAGTGAACGCGCCTCCCCCACGTCCTCCCCTCCCCCTCCTCATCCTCCTCCTCCTCCTTCACACAATCACTCGTCCCCGCGTGTGTCTGCGTGTGCTCTCTCTCTCGTGTATGTGTGTGTGTGTGTGTCCGGATTCATTTTTCAGCACTTTTCTGCGTGCCGAGTTTTGCACTTTCACTTTGTGCACTGCCTACACTGCCTAGTGCTCAGTTCTCGGTGCTCAATGCTGAGTGCTGGGTGCTGAGTGCTCGGTGTTCGGTGCTGAGTGCTCGCAACAAACAATGCGCCAGCAAGAAAGACAGCAAGAAAGACAGCCAGTCAGCCAACCCATCTGTTCATCAGCACCGCCGCCGCCGCCGCCGCTGCTGCTCAACCGAGTCCTCCCAGCCGACACTCAACCACTCCAGCTGCCCGGCTGCCCGCGGAAAACCTCGGCTTAACCAGCAAACCCAGCAAACCCAGCAAACTCAGCGAGGCCGGCGGGGCCCGGGTCTCCAGAGTCCACTGACTACTGTTCACTGTCCGCCTCGCAGTCCCCCTCCAAACACGAGGGGTGCGATACGATGCTCTACCTTATAGGAAACTTCTCCTTACGTTTGATCGTCTGCTTTGTCTCCGCCTCTCCTGACGGACAAAGTATCATTCCGCAATAGCGCCGAGGTTCAGGCAGGTCCGTCTACATACTAGGTCGTAGTTAGGGCGCAGAAAGAACCAGTGGGGAGACGTATCTACCATAAGTTAGCTGGGGGGGCGAGGGGATATACCCAATGAACCAACTCCCACCCGGCAGAGTGGGGGTTGGAATCACGATTAAGTTATAAACATTAGATATGAAGTATGTACATTACTCCGCCCCAGCACCTACACCGTGGGCCACCACAGCGCGACTGAACTCTATAGTAATTACTGCCCTCGCGGGCATCGATATCATGATTCTACCGGTACATCAGCGGACGGACGGACGGTACTTACGTTACAAGAATAGAAATAAACAGAACAAAAAACAGCGACCCCAAGTAGAAAAACTCCCAATCGCAGAGAGAAGAAGAAGAAGAAACCCAGACAAAACCAAAACCATCCCGTTCATCCGGAAACAGAGGGGAAAAAAAAGAAGGGATAAAGAAAGACGCGCTGAAAGAGAAACTCTCCCTCCTCCATCCACCCTCACACCCTCCCACCATCACACTTTCCCGGTATTCTGGGTATTCCAGGTATTCCCCCAACGCACTTTCCAGGTATCCCCTCCCGTGCCCAATATGACTCCTGTGACAAAAAAGGAAAGACCTGATCTTCTCGAAACGAAAAAGAAGTTGGAGTCACTAAAACATAAATAAGAGGAAAAAAACCACAAACGATTAGTACTACTATCCCGAGAGCATTTGTCCGGCGGCTGTCCCCACTAGAAACCCGCTATGGGGAAGCAGCAGCGAAACAAAATCCGGAGATGTGAAGAGAAGCCAAACAAAAACGGACAATGCACGGAATGAAGCGGCGTTAAGCGGCAGAAATGGACAATCGGAACGAACGACAAAAACCCGCCCCAAGAGATGAGAAAGAAGATGAGTGCGAAGAATGAGATCAATCATTCGAGCCCCGGCACGAACAGGTTTCGCCCCGTCTTCTTCATGTGCGTCTTCCGGTGCATCCGTAAATTATCTGTGCGCGAGAACTTTCGCCCGCAGATATCGCAATCGAACGGCCGCTCGTCGGTATGCGTTCTCTCGTGTCTCCTCAGGTGCTCCTGCCTCTTGAAACGAGCATTGCACGTGCCAATGCTGCAAACATGCGGCTTGTCGTTGTTGCTGACCACGACCGGAAGTCGTCCGAGGCCCGTACCTTTCGTCTTTTTCGTTGGGGAAGTGGGCTTTCGGCGTTGTATCTGGTGGTATTGCATGGGCATCAGCGGCGATGCGGCGTAATAACAGAGGTGGAGGGCTGATAGTGCGGCGTCACCACAGTTTGTGGCTGGATAGTCGAGCATAGCGGTGGTGGTGGGGGTGGTGGGGGTGGGATGGAGATGGGTTTGGTACTCAGGGGATGGTGGATGATAGCGGTCCGGGCTGTATACGAGGGACTGTGGAGAGTCGGACATTTCTACGGAATCGTTGAATCCGGGATAACGATGTCGGGAATAATCCAGTCCACTGTCCAGGCTGTTGCTTTTCCGGTACTGCGGGTGCTGTAGTTGTAGTGGCTCTTCACATTCCGACCTAGAGCGCATCTTGATGTCCATCTCCATATCCATCGATGACGGGTCGTGTTGTTGTTGCTGTTGCTGTTGCTGCTGTTGTTTTTGCCGTTGCTGTAGTTGTTGCCGTTGCTGTTGCTCTTCTTGTTGCTGTTGTTGTTTTAGTTGTTGTAGCTGTTGGTGGTGGTGGCGGTAATGATCGATGGGATTTTGATGTGCCGTATGATGGTGTTGTTGATGATGAGGATGATGATTATCGTGATGAGGTATCGGTGGCTGGCACTGGGGATATTCCGGGAGGGACAGGAGTTTAGGGGCGACGGCGATGCCGTGGGGGATGGCACTGCCGTTCGAAGGGTAAACATCGTCGTTATCGTCTTCATCCATCATGAGGGAATCCGTGTACGATAGCTGTATCGGAGCGGTGCTGTAGTCTCCAAGTGTTCCTTCCGGAGTACTCGGCAGGCTCTCGTCGCAGCCCGAGTCCCAGGAAAGTGAAGAAGCTACCGAAGTGCGACGGTGCATCAGCGGCGGCGAAGATGAGTTGTAAATATACTCGGAAGGGTTCGGTGTTGTGATGGGCGGTGTTTGAGTCTCATTCTTCATCCCGGTGAAATATTGAGCATTAACGTTGAGGTTAGGAAACCGGGATTGCTGTAGATATTCTTCGGGATCCACTGAACCGAAACAGTTGTCAGCGGAACTGAGGCGATAGACTTAAAAGTTGATATATAGGTATAAACACAAGTGCTCGCGTGGTTGAGATCTGCGCTGGGAGTGTCACGGCAAGCAGACAGGCAAAAGAAAGGATGCATATTATGGAGGAGAACGGTACATTATGCATAGAGCGAGTAGTGGATGGAGAGGGATGGGGTGTATGAAGACAGCCTGCCAGGTTGGTAAGGACCGCAGATACCGCAGCCACTGTACGATTTCTCCGCGGAAGGCGGACCAAGCGAATCCACTCAGTACGGAAGAGCCAGGCCCAAACAGCGTCTGGTCGACAGGGAGTAGTATTGTACAGAGCAAAGCGGCAGAGTGTAGACGCAACAGTGCAGGAGTAAGAAGATATGATACTGGCTCCTCCCCCCCTCCCCCAAGTGGAAGAAGAGTGAAGACAGTAGAGGAGCAGTGGTATAATAAAACACCGAAGGATTTCTATATCGAACCTTCAACCCATCAAGGTTACTCCAAATGAGGGGGTAGACTGGGGGCGGGGGTGAGGGGACGAAACAATACATCAACACGAGTTACGAACAATTGGATTTAGTCTGAACTGACGCGGGGGTGAGGGGGTGGGTTACTTTGAAGAATTGATATATCAGTCCTCCAATGATATATAAAAGCCGCTGAGAGGACGGGCCGTGGGGGACGGGGGAGGGCCGCGAGGGTGGGGGGGAGGTTTTTTTTTGCTGAGAACTCCGCACTGGGAGGTGTTTGACTGAGAGGAGTATCTGACGGAGTGGTGGTTTACTTTTTCCGAAAGGGATGCGACTCCTTTCGAGCGAGTCGATGCTTTCGAGCTGGAAGGTCGGATGTGTGGTATGTTCACAGTATATAGGTTTCGTCCGGCCAGCAGAGATGGGTGTGCGGAACGGTGATTGTTTGTTTGCGCAACGTCTACCGGGCAATTTGTCAACGGGTCTTCCTCTCTCAATATATCGATGTGACCTCAAAAAAGTCAAAGGGTGGGGGGGATGGGGATGGTTACATGGCAATCAATGGGGTACGGGGGCCCACGGGAAGCGGTAAACGGGCCGCAGCGAGTGAGTGATTCGACGATCGTTTCGTTCGATGCTAACCAGCGAAGCGGAGATAGAGTGGTTGGGGGGGGGGGGTTGCGCTTGTAGCGGGGAGTCTGTGTGTAGAGAGCTAGGCGGGGGCGGGGCAGACGGTTGAAGCTTGGGGGTGCTTAGCTGTCGAAGGCCAAACTGTCTAGATCCTGCATCAACGGCGGCGGGCCAGCTTTCTATAAACTCTCCCGTGGCCGCGCGCCGAGTTAGCGGAGGCGTCTGATATCCCCCCTCCCCCCCCTCGACCATACCCCGGCAGTGGACTGCAAAACCGGAGATGCACACATCTTGGAGGGTGGGCGGCAGTACGACTCCCAATGCGGTGATTCGCGCGCCTAATCTGGGCCTTGGCCCCAGCATTTCGGAATAAACTGGTCGCACTGTGGAAAAAGAAAGCGACACCCGGGGAAATGGCGTGTACCGATCGAGGGCTGAGATGCTGAAAAAAAGTGCGTGTCGGATGTTGCGGGAAGAACTCGAAAGGGTGGCCATCTTATTCTTGTTCTTTTTTCGGGCAGTTCTACGACAAGATAAGTAAGTTAGGTGCGTATCACGGCTTCTGCAGGCGAGGACTTCAAACTCATGCTTCGTGACCGCGACGCTCTCATTACCGCCCTAATCGATAGGCTACATGCCTAGGTGGTTCCCGCATCGTGGTCGTCGTTGTCGTAGCCAGCATCGAAGTTAGCCACGCCGGAGATGGGTCTCCAGAGGGACTGAAGGTGGCGGTAGATGGCAGCGATGGCAGCGATAGCAGCGATAACAGTGATGGTATGCAAGGAACCCATTCTCGCCATGAGATCAGCTAAGAATTTAGTTCCATCTAGCTCTGGTGCGCATGTTTCCCGGATTCCAGAAGCGTATGTAACCAGGTAATTGTGTCCTTAGGTAAGTTCTTAGTGCTCGGGGTCTGTTTGCGACACCGTATCCGTCAATCGTCAATGCATCCGCCTTGTTCTCTGCGGCGGCGGCGGCGGCTGCTCGGCCGCTGATGGGGCGACGCGAGGCCAAAACCGTGAGATGCGCAGTCAACAGGGGGCCCGGTTAGTGGTGTGTCGAGCATGGAGCACGTTGATTCCTGTATTTCTTTTTTCTTGTCTTTTTCTTTCTTTTTCTTTCTTTTTCTTTTTTTCTTCTTTTTCCGGGAAATAATGCGTGCGTTAAGCGCGAAAAAAACAACAAAAGTGAGAATATACGGTAGTGGCTTTTGTGGATGCATGAGCAAGCCACTTCATGTGAGTCTATGTAGAGGAGGATGAGAAGGATGAGGAGAAGGATGAGGAGGAGAGAGATGGGGCTTTGGGCGAGTGCAAATCCTGCTTGTCCTGGTGTGCCTGGCCACCCCCATCGAGAGGCGCGAGTCTTGTCGGGGAAGAGAGGCATTGAGGCATTGAGGCATTGGGGGCATCCTTCGCACGCCGATGGTCTGGGATTAGGTTCCATGTCCGGATGGACGTGAACTCTAGTGTAGTTATCTCGAACTCAATTCAAATCTGGACCTCCCCCATCACAGTGCGGACTCGGGAAACCAAAACGGCTGTGCGAACGTATGTACTATACTTAGTACTGTAGTTACAGTGTATACCATACACCTACCGATCACTGCACAGTGTAGGCCAGTAACCTAGTTACCGATGTAGGAACGGCGCAGCACGGCGGCCAAGTATCAGGTACCAAGCACGCCCGCAGCCCGCAGAGGCATCATCTGCACCGGCGCAGGTCTAGGGAGTCAAGCGCGTGTGCGCACGCAGAGAACCTGAAGGAGGAACCGGCGCAATCGCCGCACTAACCGGAACACCATCAAATCTCAAAAAACAGTATGGACGGCGGCGTTCGGTGGCTTTGCGGGCGGAGATGCATGGCCGAATCTTTCCCACCCAACGACCTCGAGGTGGAGAGATGGGCCACGCCCCCCGGCAAGATGTACATACCTATTCTGTATGGACAAAACCATCAACCCACTCGGAGTGGTCACCCGGACCAAAAAGGCTTCGGCGGCGGCGGTGGTGGGCCATGCACACGCGGACACAGTCATCGCACTACTCAGTCGATGGCTGCAAGCCTGCAGGTATTGGTTGGTTGGTTAGTTGGTTAGTTGATTTCTCTTTTCTTTTGGAAAGCAAGCCTCAAGGAACTCGGGTGACTGAGTGACCCTCATCTCAGCGCCGTCGGTACCCAGCCACGGTGGTACAGACTACGTAGTCACGCCGTCCTCAGGAATCCGGGCGGATTGGTTCAGCAACCCGCCTCGAGCAGACTTTGTGAACGGAATGTAATGTTGCGTGTATGTACTCACTGGCGGTGGTGGATGCGTCGAAATGAAACAAAGGGTGGTTGGGTGGGGTGGGGGGGAGGCAGGGAGGGTAGAAACTCAGAAACCGCTACGAGTGGTAACGACGGTAGGCCGCGAGATGTTGGTGACCGGTCATCTGCTGAGGGCAGCCGGAGGAGGCCAGGGGATGTTTCGACCGTCGAGCTCGAGGGTTGCTCGCGTACGGGGAGGGGAATTCTGACCGTGCATGCTTGAGAGCTGCATGGCGGCCATCCAAGTGGTCGCTGGCAAGTGAGTGATTCATCCCCCCCCCTCCCCCCCCCCCCCCCTCTCCCTCTCAATCGCAGCTCTCGATTTACCCATCATCGGCACCACCACCACCACCACCACCACCACCACCCAGCCGCTTGCAAGTCGCAACGAGACCAAACTGGCTGGCCAGGCCATCTCCCTCTCCGCTATGCGTTCCGACTGGAGTAGGTATTCCTCGACCGGGGGTAGTCGTGTGGATGGGTGGGTGGGTGGGTGGGTGAATGGGGCGGAGTGGCAGGAGGCCACACTGGACGCTGAAGCAGATGGACCCCGCAACCGAAAGGTCCCCCGCCCCCCCCCCCCCCCCCCGCGAAAATCCCATGCAGCCCCCACACCCTCTATCGAGGCATATCCTGGCACGGCTTAACAGCGTGCGACGTGCGTGCGTGCGTAGCGTAGGCAGAAATCGACGGCCAACCCTGTTGGTGCATTCGGAGTCTGGGCACTTCGATTGTTGGTTGGTGCTGGAGCGTTGCGGGGCTCTCGCTCTCGGAAGAAGGCACCTGCACGGCGGACGGTGTCGTCGCGTGTTCGAAGCTCAAACCAAGCGTCGTCGTCTGGTGGCAGCGTGGGGGGTGGTGTTGGTTCTCTGACTAGCAGTCCGACCTTGAATTGAGAGTACAAGCAGCATGGACCAGAGAAAGCCAACAAGCTTCGAGTAGCGGCGCTCCGTTACTCGCCCAAACCTCCAACCGAAAAGTCGCATGTCCAATCATGTCCGATTAGCAGTCAGCATCGATGATGGGATGTTGTGTTTCTGATCCACGGAAGCTGCAAACTAGATTAGAGTTAGTTAGTGGGAGCCTGGCCCGAGCTTTTCTTGGTTCCGTTGAGACAGACAAGCATTCATACCAGCAGCAGTGCGCACCCACGCACGGAAAACTGGCGGGCCCTGTTGTCTCTCGTCCCGGCAGCCGAGATAAAACAACTCGGAATGGGGGCAGGAGGATAATACCTATCGATTGCTCTTAGCCCGGTTCCTCTCCGCTCCTCTCCGCTCCTATCGACAAAGCAATGGGTGGGTGGAGCGTTGCATATCCTTCCATCACATGCATAATGCATAGGGCAGCGAGCACGTCGCTCGACCGATCCCCCCGTCAGTAAGATGTCCCATTGATCTGAGGCTCTTGGTGGCTTGGTATGTACCAGGAGTGCCGGAGACATTCTTCGTCGACCGTGAGGACTCGGGGCTGGGGAAGAGCTGTCCTCTGCGGGAGAAATCGCGAGCGGTCGCCATCGATTCCCCGATCACTCGCCATGCTTGGCGGTGGGCCTGATCGCCCTCTGTAGAGACAGCTCCAACACCACGATCACCGCATCGTACATACTACCAGTACTCTGACTTGCTTCCTCCTTGTACCTACGGTAGTCGTCTCACACCCATCACATCATCAACGGAGAAGCAGGTATAGATGCCGCCCATTGCAGCCCGGCAGAGCAGCTACTCTGCTCACTCACTCACTCACTCACTCACTCACTCACTCACT